AGGGCTTTTTTCTCACCACAAGATGTCTTGAAGAAAATGGAAAGATAGAGAGCAAAGTAACACCTACTGTGGCTGTGACACTCCAGCTGAGGGCCTCACGGTTTTTGTAATTCTGTGTGCACATGAGTGCGCGGTGCGAAGAGGCCAGAAGAGGTCGCCAGAACCTCTGGACTGGAGTCACAGAGGATTGTGAGCTGCTGTGTGGGTACCGGGAGCTGAACCCGGTCCTCTGTAGAGCAGCAAGCATCCCGAGACAAGCCAGGCTCTGTGTACAGTTTTCATTAATATTTTCAACTTCAGATGGTTTTGTCAGGATGTGAACCCACCACAAGCCAGAGGGCATCTGTTTCAAGTTAGTTTTTGTCAACTTGAGACAAGCTAGTCATTTGGGAAGAGGGACCTCAACTGAGAAGATGCCTCACCAGATTGGCCTGCAGGGCATTTTCCTGACTGATGATTGAAGGGGGAGGGCCCAGCCCATGGTGGGTGTGTCCATCCCTGGGCAGGTGGTCCTCTAAGAGAGCAGGCTGAGCAAGACATGGGGAGCTCCCTCCCCAGGCCTCTGCATCAGCTCTTGCCTCCATGAGGGACAATAAAATGAACCCTTTCCTCCCTAAGTTGCTTTTGGTCCTGGTGTTCATGACAGCAACAGAAAGCAAATCCAGGACATTGTCTTCAGCCAATGAAGGAACAGTATACAGCATACATAAAGAACTCTTATGTTGCACACAAGAGCACAGGCGTTCACACCCAAGGGAAGATGGTGTGGAAACAGCTGCCGGACCTGAGGATCTGGAAAAGGAGGCTTCAGACAACGCAGAGGTTCCCACCATTTGACTGGCGGAAGTTTCCAAGTCAGTGTTCCTAGTGTGTCCCACAGGTTCACTCAAGACATTTGCACAGGCTGGAGGCTTCAGAAAGCCCACCTGAGTTCTGCCTTGGTTCTGAGTCCACTACCCGGAGTTCCCAGAGAGAAATGCGGCTCATCCTTCCTGCTCCTGAACAGGGAGAGCCGCACCCCCTGCCGGTTCGAGGCCCAGCAACCCCCAGAACGAGGTGGCTGTGACTTGGTGTGTAAGGGGAGCAGTGATCCCAGCCCTGGTGGCCTGAACCAGCAGGGGCTTCTGCCACAGTCGAGGCAGGGGGTCTAGTGTAGTGTTTGAGTCCAGCCTGGCCTACATAGTGGTTTAGGTCAGCCTGGACCAAGTGAGGCAGCAGTGCCCGGGGAGCCGGCCGAGCTCCTGGGAAAGAGGGCTCGTGCTGTCCCAGGCTCCCTCCTCTCTGTCCCCGTGCCATGGCCTGACACCCCGATTCCTCCAGCACAGTGGCAAAGCCAGCCTCCCCTGGCCGCCCCAGGCGGTGTGAGCCCTGTGCCATCTGCAAACCGATACCAGCCTGCAATCACTTGTGAAACCGGCTGCCACTGTTTCCGCCCATGAGAAAGTCCCCAGGCAGGCTGCTCGGGGGAGTGGCAGATGGGCGGGTTAGCAGGGCTGGATCGGCCCTGGGCCTTAGTTTCCCCACCTGTGAAGTTTCTGAAGTTCTCATAATCCCCAGAAGCCCTCCCATCCCTGGGGAGGGGGAACCAAAAGCCCTGGGCTCTCCAGACCCCACCAGGGCAAACTTGGGCTCTCAGGGAGGGGCACCCGGCCCTACACACCCGCCTGTGGCCACGCCTACAGTCGCCCCTACCACAGGGCCTTAGCACAGGGATGTCCTCAGCTGCCCTCCACGTACCCAGCCTTGGCCCCAAAGCCACCTCCTCCCGGAAGCCCTCCTCATCTACTGACCCTTAAAGCCCCGTCGTCTGACTGTAAGGACGTGTGGCAGAGAAACCACCCAACTGATCACACTGTTTAAACCCTGACTGTGCGCCACCACGGACAGATTTCAGACTCCCTGTGCTGGGACATGTGCGTGAGAAAGACACTGGAATCTGACTCAGGAGGGGGCCAGGGGGACACTCGGTTGTCACAGCAGTAAATGGCCTCAGGTACTCAGGCTGGGGTTGGTGGCTGGGAGTGTCATCAGCTGGTGAGCGACGAGAAAACGAAGAGACAGCTGTGTGACCCTGTTCACAGGGAGGCCAACAGCTCTGAGAGCCAGGGCTACCGAGATGCCTGGAGGGGCGGGCACAAGGTCAGGGAGACAGTCCTGGGGGGTGTGCGTGTGTGCGTGCGGGCATGTGTGTGCATGTGTGTGCATGTGTGCGTGCGCATGCATACACATGTGCGTGTCTGTGTGCATGCGTGTGTGTGCGTGTGCATGCATGTGCGTGTGAGTGTCCGTGTGTGTGCGTGTGCGTGCGCGTGCATGTGCGAGCACGCGTGCGTGCAAGTGTGTGCACGTGTGAGTGTGCGTGCGTGTGTGTGAGTGTGCGTGCGCGTGCGTGCGTGCGCGTGCGCGTGCGTGCATGTGTGCGTGCGTGTGTGCGTGTGTGCGTGTGAGTGTGCATGTGCGTCCATGTGCGTGTGTGTGCGCGTGCGTGTGTGCCAGGCCAGCATGCGGGTTTCTCTGTGACCTCCACCTTTGTGGACACAGCTCTCCCTAGCCAGTCAGGGCTGCTATGCTCAGCCGTGGGCAGGCTCCTTTACTGCGAGCAGCAACACAGACAGTGATGCTCTTTACAGGGAGGGGAAACTGAGGCTCAGAGAGCAGAAGTGCTTGTCCATGAGCAATAGTGTCAAGAATGGGACCCAAGGCTGCCACTGAGAGACACCCAACGCTCTCTGTGGCTCCACCCACGCCTGGCCTCCTTGGAGTGACTTGATACTCCTTGGAGTCCTGATACCCAGAGGACGGAAGGGTCAGAGTGAGGTAGGCAGGCAGGCATGAGCTAACTGCTGCACCTGTAGGCGGAAACCCACTCCACACCGAGGGTCTCTGACTTACCCAGGACCACAGTGGCACTGAGTGGTGGCTCCTCTGCCTGACCCCGTCTCCTCTCACACCCCAAGTGTGTTGATGTAAACCAAGACTGAGGGAAGCCATGCCTGAGTCCTCTCTTTGAGATGTCTGTTGACTGACTGTATGACCTCTTCCTCTGACACTGGGGAGAAAGCTACTGTTTTGCTGGTCGATGCTGGGTCAGCCCAGGGCGGGGACAGCAGCCAGAGCACAGATGGCAGTCACCTCCATGGAAACTGAGGTGGGGACCAGGCCGCCCACCTCCTCCCCACGGTTCAGTTCCTTCCTGGGCTGCCATGCTCAATGCGGGGACAGCGGGTCGGGTGTGAGAGGCTGAGGGGCAGAGACACACGGTGAGGGGCGGGGCGGGGACCACTCTGCTACTCCAGTCCCTGCCTGGACTCCCCCAGTGAGGGTCTGCAGGTGTGGCTCCAGGCTCCAGGTGAAACAAGACCCTGGGTGCCCCACAGGCCTCGCCAGCAGGGCTCGCTGTGGCCGGGAGGCGCGGCTGCCGGAGGAACGAAATGTGCTCCGGGCACACAGTGGAGTATTGCTCAGCTGTGAGAAGGAAAGGCACGGACTCATGCGGATCTTGCGCGTCTAGAACAGGCCAAGCCCCCGTGACAGAGGCTTGGGAGCTGTGACAGCGGGAAACAGGAGCCGCTCACGGGACAGAACTCTGGCATTTGGTAAGGAATGTTCTGGAATTAGCAGTACTCTGTGCACACCAAGGGAGTGTGCTAAATGTTACTGGATTGTGCACTTTAAGTGAGCGAGTGTGTGGTGTGTGAAGCCAGTGTGACTAAAATTAAACAGCTCCAGGGCGGCCACCCCGGGCTGCTCTGTGACCGGGTCACTGTGTCCCTGAGCCCGGGACAATCCACCCATCCTGGCCCGAGGGCAAAGTCAGAGGCTCCTGGAAAAGGCGGCAGGGAGGTGCCTGGGGAGGGAAACCGAGGCAGCCCATGCGTCTGTTTTTGACAGGCTCCATGCCCGCCCGCTACCTACAGATGCAGACAGTAAGAGCGGTGAGGGCAGGGCCAGGGGCCTGCACTCCGGAGGCTGAGGTGGCGGTGAACTAACCGTGCTGCAGCTCACAGGGAAGACGCCACCTCAGTCGCCAAGCTTTTTTTTGGGGGGGGGGTTCGAGACAGGGTTTCTCTGTGGCTTTGGAGGCTGTCCTGGAACTCGCTTGGTAGTCCAGGCTGATGGCTGCATCTGCGTTTGCCTGCACCGGCCTGTGAGACATCCCACGCCATGCAGGCCGGGGCCTGATGCACAGGCAGCACCCTAGTGACCGCTGGAACCACTCCGCCCTGAGCCACGCCCCTCACTGGGGGTCCCAAGCCGTCACTGTGCCCCTGAGCCACGGCCGGCCGAGCTCTCTTGGGCAGCAAGCCTGTGGGTCACTTCCTGTTAGCTTCTATCAAACGGAATGGACGGAAAGTTTTGGTCACCCTGCGTGGCCGGATGCAGGTGACTGACTCCCCACGCCCAGGTCTGGTCTGACTTCTCCTGTGCCCCCGGGCTGAGTCCACTTATGCTGGAAAATTCTCCCAAGCGCAGCAGTGTCCTCTGTTCAGCGCCCCCCGGGTCCCCAACAACGGGAGGGGCTGAGTTCGGATGATTGGGAGTTTGAGCCAGCCTGGGCTACAGGAACCACAGTGCGGCTGGACCACGGGACCAAGGGTCCTTCCCCAGCTAGATGCTTCCCCGGGAAACAGATCCCTAATCCCGGGAAGCCTGGCCCTGCCAGGGCGGGCGGGCACTCCGGGCCGGGCTCCTGGCCTCACTCGGGCGCGACGCCGCCTGAGCCCGGGCCGCGCGCCGCTGCTGCCCCCTGGCGGTCACGGGAGTAGCTAAGGACGCGCGTCTATCAGGCGGCTGAGCAGGAAGGAGGGGACCCGGGGTGCACGGGGGCTGCAGCGGCCGCAGAGGAGGGCGCTGGGGCCACCAAGGCACGGGTTCTGGACACCGAGGTCTCTCGCCTCAACTGTCCTCCACGCAGGGACGCACGCAGCCTAGGCTGCCCCGGAAGTCGCTGTGCAGTCCTGCCCTGCCCCCTGGCGCTGGATGACAGAATGCACGGGGTGGCCAGCCTCAGCCCATTTATCAAGTGCTCCGTACTCCAACAGGGAAGCTGAGTCTGCATGTGTAACCTTCCCCAGATGTCCAGGCCATGACGCCCACCGCTCTCACGGTGCCGAGCCCATCCTATGGTGCTCTAGAAGCATCCAGGCTCCCTGTCCAGTGCTCCTGGGATTGGACCCCAGCTCAGGACACAGGAGCCAATTGGAGCCTGTGGCCAGGTCCCCTCAGACTAAAGGACCCCCAAACAGACCAGTGATGGGGCCCAGCCTTGACCTAAGGACACCAAGGCCAGCTGCCTAAGCAGTTCCCCCTGCTTGGCCGTTTCTAGGGTCCCCTCGCAGGCTGTGTGGGTACAGGGCCTGGAGAGAGCAGAAGGAGCAGGTTCTACAGCAGGAGAGAAAGGCAACTGTCACTCAGGCCTGGATTCGCCAACTCCGTGTGGCCTCGGGTGAGAGGTTCACCCTCTTGGAGCCTCAGTATTCGCATCTATAAAATGGAGCAGCCTTTGGGTCGCAGCTGCCGCGGCTCAGGGGCCGAGGAGGGAGCAGCTGAGCTCGCCATCGAGTCTCCTATCCAGTCAGTGCTCTGGTCCCGAAGGCCGGATGGATGGTGCCGGCTCCTCGGTCTTCGGGGCCCACCAAAGGTCGCCAAACGCGGAGGCTCCCTGGGTCACATCCCCCAGGAGCAGCGGGAGTTCCTCGTGGGCCAGGCCGCCGCGGGGACAGTCCTTGCCCATGCCCAGGCCCTTGGCCTCGGGGCGTCCGTTCACCTGACTCCCGGCCTCCCAGGACCGCGCGGTGGCCAGGGCAAGCGCAGGGGCGGCCTGGGGCGGCTCCGTCCGGTCATCTGCGTCCCGAGCCTTCTCCACCACCAGCGTCTCTCGCGGGCACAGCACCTCCGGGAAGTCCTCAGGGCTGCGCCACTGCCAAGCCTTGAAAGGAGGGACACAGCCAGGACTGCGGGCGCGGCCAGGACCGAGAGCAGCGGGTGTGTGGGTGGGGCCAAGGCTGGGGGCGCGGCCAGGACGGAGTGAAGAGGGGCGTGAGGGCGGAGCCAGGGTGAGTGACCTTGTGTGGGCGGGGCGCCTGTGGGACAGGCGTGGAAGGACCCTGTCATTGGGTAGACCCGCTCCAGCCCTCTGGAGAGTTCTCCTCTTTGCCCAGCCCGCAAGACCCCGCATCTCTTTTGGCCAATCAGAGCATTCTAGCCACAAGAGCCACTGAGCGTGTGACCCAGGTGGGCCGATCAGAGCTGGCTCTGAGACTTGGGCGTTAGCTAATGGAGAGGCCAGAAAGTCCCCTAGAGCAGGCCAGGGTGACACCCCCAGAAGGAGCTACTCCCAGAGATCCTGTGTTCCTGGGTCCAGCCACGCCTGAAGCCCACAGCCTTGCGTCTGTTTTCCAAACTCCCCTTCCGTCGAAGCTTCTGCTTCTATGCTGACTCCTGGAAGCTTCCCCTGGCTGCCTGGCTTTCCAGCCCGCCCCGAGGTGGCTTGGGTGAGCCGTACTGGACCACATCCACTACCCTCCGTACGCATCAAACAGTCGGGAACTGGAAGGGGACATTTACCTGCTTGCCCTGGCTGCCAGGGAACTCCACAGCTGTGCTGGCGCAGGGGGTGGGCAGGGGCGGGCACAAGTGCCAGGCCACCCTGGGAACAAGGGACGGCAGATCAGAGGGGATTCTGAGCTCTCCTTTTCTCCCCACTATGCTGTGAAGGGGGTGCTGTGGGCCGACTCCCGCGCACTCAAGTCCAGCCCCGTTTCTGCCCCGGCCCTGAGCCCCAGTTCCCCGTCTATAAGGCCAGAGCAGAAACACACTTTGGGCTCAACAGTGACCTAGCGAGAGTTACCTGTTCAAACCGATGTACCCGAGGCCGCCCACGAGGAGGACGCTGGCGAAGCTCCCCAGAGACGCGAAAATGATGGATAACCGGGAAATCTGCACCTCTGGGGGCGGGGCAACTTGAGGGAGGTGTGCCCACTCCTCCTTCCCCCCCCCCCAGCTGCCTGACTGGGGACACAGCTCGACCCAAGCACAGCAACCCAAGGAGTCAAGAGGGCGGTTCCTCTGGCGCTGTGGCTCAGACTCAGGTAGGGAGACCTTCCTGGAGGAGGGAGCTTTACAGCTGGGTTTTGGAGGAGGAATAGGAGTTTGACAAGTGGGTGGGAAAAATCAAATATTGCAGGCAGGCAGGTCAGGTAGGCTAGAGGAGAAGAGGAATTCCAACTGGTCGTTTCTGCGGAGGCCCATGGAGGCCACAGAAGGGATCTTGGCCACCGCGGGACCTGCAGGTCCCTGTGGGAAGGGCAGAAAGGGCACGCTGGGCTGGCGGCTGGCAGCTGTCCCCACTCACCGAAGCTGAAGCGCTGAGGGCGGCTCCAGGAGCCGACGAGCCGCGCGGTGTCCGCTCGCACCTGTGCCTTGTACACCACGCCACTGCGCAGTCCCTCAAGTGTCACTTGGGTTTGTGTGGGTGGCACGAGCCACTCTGTTGGAGGCAGGCAATGTGGGTTAGGGATTCTTTCATGGCCCGTGGGGCGAGCCTGACACTCGGGGCGGCCCTGTGGGTCCAAGCCTGGCTTGAGGGTGAGATCAGAACCTGGCTCGGTTCCCAGCACCCACCAGGCAGCTCACGATTGTCGATGACTCCATTTCCCGTCCCGACAGCATCTGCAGCCATCAGGCACAGGCATGGTTCACAGACACAAATGCAGGCACCACCTGCACACCTAAAACCGTCAGCCGACACACAGAGCGTTAAGAGGGAACCAACATAGTCAAGGACAGGGCATTGGCTCAGTGCACATCCTGGGTCTCACCTCCGTTTCCTGGGGAGGCTGAGACAGAAGTGTTGCTGTAGGTTTAAGGCCAACCTGGGCTACAGAGTGAGTCTCAAACAAATAAAAAAATAAAAAGGCAGGCAGGCTGGGTAAGGCGTCCCTGAAGGCCTTGACTGCCCAGCCTGATGAGAGTTCGACCCCAGGGCCAGACCCACAAGCTGTCCTGTGGCACACGCGTGCTCCGTGGACACCTCGCTATCGTACATAGTAAACAAGTCGATAAATACGTAGTTGAAAAACGAAAGCGGCGATTTGAATGAGAATGGCCCTCACAGGCTCAGACGTCTAACTTCTCGGCCTCCTGTTGACTGGGGAGGACGGGGTGTGCCCTGCCTCTGCCCATGTCCACAGCCGAGTTTCCGCCGACGCGACCGCCGCACCTGACACCCACTCGCTGTCCTCAGCCTCGCAGCGCACGACGTATCGCGTCAGGACCCCCGGGCAGGCACTTAGCCGCGACGGCGCCCACTCCACGGACACCGAGTTTCCGCTGTGGTTCCTCACCCACACGTGGTTCGGAGTCCCAGCCACCGAGGCTGCACAAAACAAGTCAGCAGTGAGGCTGCCCCGGGGCCCCGCCCACCGCGACCACACCCCGCGCCACGCCTCCTCCACAGAGGACACGCCCGCCAGATGACCCCGCCCACTGCCCTGGCTCCGCCCGCCTTCCTAACTACCGCCTGGGTTTAAGTGTAGCCTTGTCCACACCCGCTGTCATGGCTCCACCCACAGCGCTAGCATTTTGCCTGCTCGATTCTTGGCTCCGCCCACAGCCCTGGCTCCACCCACAGCCATTGATCTGCCCACCCTAACACTCCAAGGTCACCAAGGACACAAACTCACAGATGCGAGCTACTCACCGTTACCCCCAAAGTAGTAACCGGACAGGAGCGTGTACCACAGCACCGGGTTCTCTGGATCCTTAGAGGCGAAGACGGTGATGCGGTAACACTCCTCCTGGTCCAGGGCAGGCTCGGAGCTCCAGCTGTGGGTCACTGGAAGGACCAGCAGAGCCAGAGCGGGGTCACTAAGTAAACTGCCCTTAGCAGTCAGTCTGTGCCGGCTCTGCACAGACTGACTGCTAAGGTCTTCTGGGACCCACTGCCTAGAAAACTCCCCCTCGTGCTTCAAAGTCCTTATGAAGCCTCCTCTCCTGGATCCTCAGATACTTCAGCCTCCACACGGCGGGGAGAGTCCAAGCCCAGGGCAGAAAGTCTCAGAACAAGACACTGTCAGGACCATCCGGCTCCTCCAGCCTCATTGACTAGCAACTGTGACTTGTCACCTTCCCTGGCGCATGGGGAGTGTTTAAATCCCCATAGTATGTGAGCTTCATTATGCCCAGGGTGTGACCTGCCCAGGGAGCAGCCCAGGAAGCGACAAAGCTGCAGATGCCAAGCCTCAGAGCTCTTGCCTCTTCCTGGACCAGCTGCTGTGTGACTAAGAGTAGTGAAGCTGCCTCTCTGGGCTTCAGACGCCCTGTCTGCACAGACCCTGGAGGCTGGAGCTAGCCAGGTGCTATCACAGCATATTTGTCTGAGAGTGACATACCCTTCCCAGCGGGGTCCCCGTCTCCTGGAGCAATCAGAGTACAGTGGGTGTGGTTCCCGCCCTGGCCCCGAGCCTGCCACTCAAGGCAGTAGGTGGTGTCCGGGGCCTGGGCCGCCCAGTGCAAGGATGTCACGTTGCCTTCCACGCTGACATTCAAGGTTCTCATCCCTGGAAGGAGCCCTGAGCGTCACATGGGAACCAAGGGTCACCAGCACGTGGGTGAGAGTCACAGACCCACACTCATCCTCCTGCCCTGAGGAGGTCAACTAGCGCTTATTGAGCATCAGCTGTATGCCAGGCTAATCCCTTACAGATGCCACCTGTTTACAAATGAGATTCTGGTCTTTTGTTCGTGTTTGGTCTTTTGAGGCAGAGTTTCTCTGTGCAGCCCTGACTGTCCTGGAACTCGCTCTGTAGACCAAGCTGGCCTTGAACTCACAGAGATCTGCCTGCCTCTGCCTCCCGAGTGCTGGGACTAAAGGCGTGGCCACCAACGCCCTTTTCACACACAGAGGCAGAGCCACGGGCATGTGCGTACCCATCGAAGCCCTGACTTGATCAAGCCAGCACCAAACGGCCTGCTGTGTGCAGAGCGCCGTGCTGCCCGACACTGTCACGTGTGTGCAGTTCCCACTGAGGCCAGACGCCCCGGGCTGGAGCTGGGGGTTGGAGCGCCGCCAAGCCGGCTCTGCTGCCCCAGCTCGGGTGTTTAAAGTCCCGCGTTAAACACGCACCTCCATGACTGAAGTTTTGATGCACCCTTCTCTCGGACACCGTCTTAATCTCATTCTTTTGTGTGTGAGGAAGGGACCCGGACCCCACACATCCTATGTGCCTGGGTGGACCCGCCGCCCTCGAACCCGCCGCCCCCGTGTTCCGCCCCCGGGCCCCGGGCACCTGTGAGCTCTTGGGCAGGAAGGTGCCACGTCAGGTAGGGGCTGCGGCCGAAGCGAGTCCTGGTGAGTACGACCAAGTCGTAGGCAGCCCCAGACAGGCTCAGCGGCTTGCCCAGGGACACGGTCTTCCTGCTCAGAAGCTGGCACGTGCAGGACAGCATGTGCACGCGCACCAAGTACCGCGCCTGCGCACCGGGCCTGACTCCCTCGCAGCCCTCGGGGACAGCTGGCTGCAGAGACTGCAGAGCAGGAGACGGGCATGGGGACCTAGGACACGGCCTGGAGAGCCCAGGACACCAGGGACACTGCCCTCCCCGCTCCCACACTCTCCATGGCTCCCTGTTACTAGCAGAGATGGGGTCTCATGTAACCCAGGCTGGCCCACCTCCCCTGTGCTGGAGTGACAGGTGCTGACCGCCACGCCCAGCCGGTCTCCAGAGCTGACCCCACAACCTGTGGCCTCGCCACCCCTGCCTCTCTCCATCTGCCTCTTTCTCCTCCCCTCCTGCCTCCTCCCCTAACCGCAGCCCAGGCTGCCCAGTCACCTGGCCTTGCATGGTCAGACGCCGCCTTCCACCTCGGCCCAGTGGCTCCACCAGAAACTTGACCTCAGGCTGGGGGAAGGGTTCTGGAAGGGGAGTGGAGAAAGAGCTTGAGGCAGCCCGATATTCAGGACACTGGGAAAGACGAGGCTGGGGACTGTAGCCACCCCTCCTGTGTTCTCCAGAGCTCAAGTGTGAAGTCGCAGGCCCTCCGCCTTCAGCTACAAATGGCACCCTGCTCCAGGCAGGTGGCTTTGTCCCAGAGACCTCACAGAGTGACAGAAGCCAGGGCACCGTTCAGGAGGCCATGCAGGCTTCTCTGGTGGCCCTGCGGCTAAGCCCTCAGCCGGATGGCTGAGAGAGACCTCGTCCCTTTTCCTTTTGAGAGGCCAGGCTACCCTCAAAACCACAATCCTCCTGCCCCAGCTTTCCTGGCGTTGGGATGACTGGCGTCACACTTGGCTGGACCCCTTCCTAGTCCCTGTAGCCCAGCGCCCTCACCAGGTGGAGCACACACAGAAGCACTCCAGCTACTCCAGGGGCCTCCGGGAGCCCCCGAGGAGAGCCGCCTTCGCCGCCGGATCTGGAACTCCTGGGCCATGTTCTCTGAAGGGCAGAGGCAGGACTCTGGGTAGAGCAGACATGGGTCACGGTGTCAGCATACAGGGACTGACCGGCGTATGTGCTCTGACTGTCCCTGGGTTAGTCACTCCTCACTGCCACCCTGGTCCTCTTACACCTCACCCTGTGGCTTGCAGACTAGGAATAAACCCATACTGAGCCACAGGGCAGGTCACGGGCCCTGCATGCAGTAGGGGACTCATTAACGCTTACCAGAAATGCTATCACCAGGTGGTGGTAGCGCACGCCTTTAATCCCAGCACTCAGGAGGCAGAGGCAGGCGGATCTCTGTGAGTTCGAGACCAGCCTGGACTACAGAGTGAGTTCCAGGACAGCCTCCAAAGCAATACAGAGAAACCCTGTCTCGAAAAACCAAACAAAATAAATGCTTACCAGAAATGCTATCATGAATGTCCTCAATCACACCTAAGCCAGAGTTATCCTGGGGTCCACAGTCACCCTAAAAAGAGAGTGGGCGTATGACTGGCTTAAACTTTGATGTCCAGAAAGAGCTGTCAGAGCGTTTCTGTTCCACCCTTGGGGCCTGAATTTTATAGGTAGCTGGTGCCTGCCGCTCCCTCCAGGACCTCCCGAGTGAGGGTGAGGGATGGGTGCTGCCAGACCCAGCTCCCCTGACCCATTGTCTGTTTATCTTCGAGGAAAATTGAGGTCCAGGTAGGATCATAGAAGGGCGGGGACCATGGGACTGCAATGGCTTAGGAATGGATGGGCAGGGGAGGGAGAGCAGGGGAGAGGGAGGGAGGAAAGGAGAAAACGGATCTGAGGGTAGCAGAGGTGGCCCTCACGCTGCTCTGTGGTGCCTGGGTGGCTGTGGGCCGACTGGGTTAGCCTGGTCCTCACACTGTTCTGTGGTGTCTGGGTGGGTGTGGGCTGACTGGGTTAGCCTGGTCCTCACACTGTTCTGTGGTGCCTGGGTGGGTGTGGGCCGACTGGGTTAGCCTGGTCCTCACGCTGCTCTGTGGTGCCTGGGTGGGTATGGGCCGACTGGGTTAGCCTGGTCCTCACGCTGCTCTGTGGTGCCTGGGTGGGTGTGGGCCGACTGGGTTAGCCTGGTCCTCACGCTGCTCTGTGGTGCCTGGGTGGCTGTGGGCTGATGGGGCCTCACGCAGACTGACTTACTCAAGCAAGAGGCTGGGCTGCGGGGATCCACAGAGAAAGGCAGTCCAGCGCTTGTCAAAGAAGCGTGACTCTGGCAGGGTGTCGGGGAGGGAAATGGGGAGCTGGGGGGGGGCAAGCTCAAGCAGGAAGGTCGCCATCAGATCGGAGGACTTGGAGCCCTGGGCATGGAGACTGGGTGACCCTGACGGTGCTGAGGTCACCTTGGATCTGGGAAACAAACTCACCAATGTCCAGTTTGCTGTGGGCGTCCGGCGCCTGAACTGCACCTCGGCTGGACCCTCGTCAGTGATGTTCCAATCCAGGCGTAACTGCCCTTCGGTACGAGACACTCTGACGTCCCCCAGGGGAGGGCTGAACTTGACTGTGGGGAGGAGGTCACGCCTGTGACTTGTGCAGATGCCCAGCGCCACCCGGGGGTCACCCGATGAGACTGACAGACCCCGCGCACCCAGCTAAGGCTGGCATTCTAGGCCCAGAGTGGGGGCAGGGATTTTTCCTCAGGTTTTGTTTTTGTTTCTTCAGCCCAGGGTCTCTTGTCACTGATGAACGCATGGTCCTCCTGCCTCCCAAGAGCAGGCACGACAAGTGTTCACCCCATGACTGATTAATGTGGTGCTGGGGTGAAATCTTACGGCTCCCTGTATGCTAGGCTCGTGTCTACCTGTGGGCTATGCCCCCAGTCCAACAATTTAAAAAACAGATTGTATTAAGAGGCTGGAGAGATGACTCGGGTTAAGAGCACCTGAGAGGACCTAGCTTCAGTTCCCAGGACCACATGGCCGTTGACAGCTGTCTGTAAGTCCAGCTTCAGGGGATCCTGACACACAGGTGAAACATATATATGTGTAAAATGAAAATACACAAACTTAAAGAAAGCACGCTGGGGCGTGATAAGAGGCGGAGCCCTGCCTGGGATTCACCAGTGAGGGGCTGGGGCGTGGGTCCAGGTAGAGCGTGAAGAAAACTGTGGTTCTCTCCTCAGAGGTATGCATCCCCTCAAAACAAACACCTTGCGGGATGAATGCTCCCACTGACAGACGAACCTTTTGCTGCCCTGGCTAATTCTGCCTCTGCAAGGGTGCGCAGCCCTACTCACTAGCCTGCCCACATCCGTCCCTGAACCTGCCCGCAACCCACATCCTCACGCATGCACACTCAGGACAGGACTCTGTCAAAGACATGCTGAGTCATGAAAACACACGGCTCCCAGGAGGAGCTCCCAGGACTGAGGGGGCAGAGGATCAGCCTGAGAGCCCAGTGGTAGGGTATTTATTCCTTGTCACTGCAATGTCCAGTTCTGGACCTGGGGTGAAAGGGCGCTCACTCCACTCAGACAGGCACAGGGATATCTCCAGAGACTTCATGGTCCAGCTGCTGAGCCGAGACTCCACCCAGAACGTGACGGTAGACAGTACAGGGACGCCAGCCTGTTCCGAGAACTGCACAGTCCTGGAATGGCCCGCGGGGAAGTAGCAGCAGCGCCCTCCACTGAAGCTGCAGGAGGAGGGTTAGCTATGAGTCAGTGGAGCGGTGGGTGGTAGGTGGGTGGGCGGGAGGACTGGGCGACGGAGAACATTAAGGTGAGTCTGAGGATGAAGACTAGAAAATGTTTAATCCCAGCGCTCAGGCCGGTCCCTGTGAATTCAAGGCCAGCCTGGTCTACACAGGACATCCAGGGCCACAGAGAAACCATGAACAGAAAAAGGCTAGGAAGCCGCGTGGTGTCTTTCCTCCCCTTGGAGTGACATGTTGTTGCATCTCACATGACAAAGACTGGCGGGATCATGTTGCTCTTGGCTTGTGGGATTTGGGGGACCAGTGAGGTTTGTGGGGACAGGTTCTCACCAGCACCTCAGGAAGTGAGTGACATTGTCCTCAGAGCCGTCATACTGCCAGGAGCATTCGTAGTCTGCCCCGGAAACCCTGTAGCAACTCAAGTTCCTGGGTCCTGAGGCGCCTGCAAGAGATGGTAGCCGGCTGGGAAGTGGGCGTGGCCTTGTCTAGCCCGCCTGCCACTCGGCCTCCTCTGCGCTGGCTGGCAGCACTGTCTCTGGACCTCACAGCTGTCCCCGGGAACCTTTGCGCCTGCTGGGTTGAATGAGACCCACCCCTTACGCAGGCAACACTGGGCACCAGCAGCTTCTACCCACTCGGGCAACTGCACCCCAGTTCCTTGCAGAAAAATACTGATTTTGTCTTTTTTTTTGAGTCTCATGAAGCCCAGGCTGATCTCAACCTTATTAGCCAAGGATATAAATTCCTGATTCCCTGCCTCAGCCTTCAAGTGTCTGGGATAAGAGACTATGTATCTTCACAGTTGGTTTCCTGTAATTTTTGTTTGTTTGTTTGTTTGTTGGTTTTTTGAGACAGGGTTTCTCTGTATTGTCTTGGAAGCTGTCCTGGAACTCGCTTTGTAGACCAGGCTGGCCTCGAACTCACAGAGATCCACCTGCCTCCGCCTCCCGAGTGCTGAGATTAACGGTGTGCGCCACCACCGCCCATAATTTTTTTAAACAGTGGATTTAGAACCTGTCTCTTGGAGTTCCTTTTGTGAAATTCGCTAATAAATAAAAATATCCCACTCAGGGACAGAGCGAGAATGTCTAGCAGGTGGTTGTCCCAAACACTGGTCCATGAGAACAACAGGAACTTGAATAACAAGGGGGGCAGCGGGGACCCTACTCAGAATGGAGGCTGGAAGGGACAGGCGGCCAGCTGTGATGGGGGCTGGCAATGGCGCCCAGGCTTGGGCAGCAGGACAATGGGACTACACTTGGGGACAAGGAGAGGCAGGCAGCCTAGGAGGGGCCGTGCCAGACCTGAGGCTCCATCCGGGGACAGGGGTGGCTTCTCAAAGAGGCAGCTGTCAGCTCTGCAGGAGACTGGAGAGAAAATCACAGACATGGGACATGTGAGCCCCGGGAGGGCACAGCCGTGAGCATCGCCTGCCCACCCCCTTCCTGTCTGTCTGTCTGTCTGTCTGCCAGCAACACATCCAGACGAAGACCCTCACCCACGGACCCCCACCCACCTCCCCCCAACCCCCACCCACTGACCCCCACCCACTGACCCCCACCCACTGACCCCCACAACCTCCCCAACCCCCACAACCTCCCCAACCCCCACCTCCCCACTTGACCCACACACACCGCCCCCCACAACCTCCCCAACCCCCACCCACTGACCCCCACAACCTCCCCAACCCCCACAACCTCCCCACTTGACCCACACACACCGCCCCCCACAACCTCCCCAACCCCCACCCACTGACCCCCACCCACTGACCCCCACCCACTGACCCCAACCCACTGACCCCCAACCCACTGACCCCCACCCACTGACCCCCACCCACTGACCCCCAACCCACTGACCCCCAACCCACTGACCCACACACACCTCCCCCCAACCCACTGACCCCCAACCCACTGACCCCCACACACCCCCAACCCCAACCCACTGATCCCCACACCCACTCACCCACACACACCTCCCCTTCCCCACCCCCACCTCCCCACTTGACCCCCGTACCCATCCCCCACCCCTCCAGAGCTCTGCTGGTCCTGTGCTCAACCCTCTCACTGCCCCAGATTCTAGGCTCCCTCAGGTCCCTGCGCTCCAGGGTCAGCAATGGGCACCGAGTACGGGCAGGTGCTGCCCTAGGTCGCCTCAGGGCAGGGGGAGGCTGGGGGTCGGGGGGGACAGTCCCCAGGAGATGGTGATGTCCTGTGAGCAGATTCACTGTGGAGCTTGGGGCCAGGGTTGCCCTGTGAGGGTGTAGGACCCCACAAGCCAGGGCCACCCGAGCTCTGGGAGTCTTCTGGGGTGACAGGCGCGCCCTTCATGCATCCTGCTCTCTCTGGTGACCCAGCCCGCAACCTGAAGCCGTCTCTCCTGGCCATACTGTCCCCTCTTCCCCTCTGCCAGCCAGCTCTCTCTGATGGTGGCCCTCCATAGGAAACCGGGGTCCCTGCCTCTTGCTGTGACACATGGTGTCCCCGAGGTCCTGCAACCCTTTTGGTGGGACATTCTGATTGCCATCCCTATTTGTTCCCTCCATCAAGCTGAAATGGGAGGCCAACAAACTGCGGCTCCCTGGCCTACAGAGGAATGCAGAGGCACAGAGAGGCATAGAATTTGCCCAGCGTCACACAGCAGCCATGACGGAGGTGCATCCCAGCCTTGTCCACGAGGGGTCCAAGAACCTGCCTGTGTAAATCCTGTGTGAGTGTGTGCAGAATGTGCGCAGAACATGCGAGTTTACATGTGCCTGCCTGCGATTCCTTGAGCTCTTCTTATTTAAGAAGATGGGGATGGGAATGGACCAGGATCCTCAGTAGAGGAGGAACTCAAACCAGAGACCCCTGCAAACACGGCCACGGAGACCCCATGTGACAGCCGACCCAGAGACCTGGAGCCTGCATCCCTCCGCGGGTCCCTCCCTCCCTCCCCAGGAGATGTGGGGTGAGCACTGGGGAGGACTCACCGCCCAGCCGGCAGAGCAGGAGGACGAGGACGATGGGTTGGCTGGTCCCCCGCAGCCCCATCAGGTCCACAGGAGTTGTGAAGCCCCGGGAACTTCTGCACCTCTGAAGGGGCCCGGCCGCCCTGTCTCCACCCCGGAACACGCTGACACTGAGAAAGGAAAGAAAATGAAAAGGGGGAGAAGAAAAACCTCACTGCCTCCCCGCCAGTCAAAGTGAAAGTGACGGCCAGGAAGCCAGCCCCTCGTCCCCCACTGCAGCCCACCCCCAGTTAGTCAGCCCAGGGTCCTTTCTGGTGTTTTTGTTTGTCTTTAGAGGCAGGGTCTCATGCAGATCAGGTTGGACTTGAGCTCTCTATGCAGCTGAGGCTGGCCTTAAACTCCTGATTCTGTTGCCTCTACCTCCCCAATGCTGGGGTGACAAATGTCACAGACACCACACGTAGTCTACTGGGGCGCTGGGCATGGAGCCCAGGGCTTCCTGAATGCTAAGCAGACGCCTAGAAACTGAGCCACAGCCTGTAGGTTACATTTTAAATCCTTTTCCCAGTACCTAGAAGGTTGAGGCGGGATGACCATGGATTTGTGGCCACTCAATGCTCTATAGACTGTTTCAAAAGAAATAGTTTTACGTGGTGTGACATTTCTCCCAAGATGTTTTCACAGTCAGGTGGTGGTGGTGCAGCCTTTAACCCCAGCACTCGGGAGACAGAGGCAGGTGGATCTCTGTGAGTTCGAGGCCAGCCTGGTCTACAGAGCGAGTTGCAGGACAGCCAGGGCTACACAGAGAAACCCTGTCTTGGGTTTAACGTCTCCTGATTTTCAGGGCTCGAACAAGGGAGGCAGATCTTTTGGAGACCCTGAGGCCCTTGTGGAGAAGCCCATGGTGCCTGGGGAGGGGCCCCTTGGGGGAGGAGCCATGTCCTCAGCACAGCTGGCCCGCCTGGCCCGGGGTCAAGCTTCCTGAAGGCTATGAGGTCAGAGCCTGCGGGACAATGAGGCAGTGTCTTGGCCCTGGCACGGCGACACTCGCTCCCTGTGACCTCACATAGACTGACTCCAATGGCACTGGAAGGGAGGGTGCAGGGGGCTGTGGGGGAGGGGCAGAGCCAGAGACATGGAGCAGAAAGGCAGGCAGAGCACATGCTCCCACATACTTGGGAGGCTGAGGCAGCAGGATGGCCATGAGCTCCAGGCTAGCCATCAAGGGAGGGAAGTTCTCAGAAGACTGAGGCTTGGGCTTCACCCCCTAATGGTCTCGAATAGTCTCAGGAAGGCCTCCATGGCTTGCCCACATCACAGACAGGAAAACTGAGTCCAGAGGCCCCAGCTGGAAGCAAAGAGATGTATTCAGGAACAGACATGGGTCTTTTGTCCTTCCCTGTTCCTGCCAATGCTGCCTACACATACACACACAGACACACACACACACAGAGACACACACACAGACACACACACAGACACACACACAGACACACACACAGACACACACACAGACACACACACACAGACACACACACAGACACACACACACAGACACAGACACACACACAGACACACACACACACAGAGACACACACACAGAGACACACACACAGACACACACACACAGACACACACACACAGACACACACACACAGACACACACACACAGACACATACACACAGACACACACACAGACACACACACACAGACACACACACAGACACATACACACAGACACACACACACAGACACACACACACAGACACACACACACACAGACACATACACACAGACACACACACACAGACACACACACACAGACACACACACACAGACACACACACAGACACACACACAGACACACACACACAGACACACACACAGACACACAGACACAGACACAGACACACACACAGACACACACACACAGAGACACACACACAGACACACACACACAGACACACACACACAGACACACACACAGACACACACACAGACACACACACACACAGACACATACACACAGACACACACACACAGACACACACACACAGACACACACACACAGACACACACACAGACACACACACAGACACGCACACAAGACACACACACAGACACACACACAGACACACACACACAGACACACACACAGACACACACACACAGACACACACACACACACAGACACATACACACAGACACACACACACAGACACACACACACAGACACACACACACACAGACACATACACACAGACACACACACACAGACACACACACACACACACACACACACACACACAGACACACACACACAGACACACACACACAGACACACACACACATGCCTGCCTCAGTTTCCCCAATGGGCTGCATATGAAGTTGGGCCAGGCTGAGTGAGCACCAACCAGACACCTATGGCGAGTGCTTGCGGCACGCCCAGTCCTCAGCCCTTGCCACACCTCTCCAAGTGACAAGCTGAGGGCCTTGCCTGGTTGGGGAGGAGTGGGAAGCCATGGGGAATGAGAAGAGGGGAGACCCAGGCACACTGGAGTGCTGGGGCTCCCTTATTGAGGTCACAGCATGGGCACCCACACGTATCCTCCTCCCCCTTCCCCTCGGCCCCTTCCAGCTGCTGCTCATGGAGGCCCAGTGGAGCTAGGCGCCCGGGGTGCCCCACTTTCAGGGACATTACACATTTGGGGGTGGTGAGCAGGAAGGAACAGGTCACAAGGCCCGGAAACCATATCAAAAGAAATCACCGAATGTCCCCATGGTCACCAGTGAAGAGGGAGTGACATCACTTCCTGTGCTCAGAGAGCCTGAAGATGAACAGGAGTTTGCGAGGAACAAACCTTGCTCATTTAACAAACACACAAGCATCATTTACACATAAAAACAATTTAAAAGGTTTTTCTTTATTTTTATTTAATGTGTGTGGTGTTTGCCTGCACTGTGTCTAACCCACAGAGGCCTGTCTGCAAGCCCGGCGGAACATTTAAAAAGTCACTCAAATACAGCGCTCTAAGGCGTTTGTGTCTTTATGTTTAGGTTTTTGAGACAGGGTCTGGGCTGGTCTTGAACATCTGACCCTGATGCCTGGCTACACGGCAGGAGAGTTGTTCCCCAGGGACAAGGTCCACGGTTCTGCTCCCTTGCTGTCCAGTGCTCCTGGTTGGGTAGGATCTGCACACTAAGTTTTTAGCCAGACTTCAGCCTGTGTGTCGCACCTAGCGTTTGCCCGAGGACTTAGTCACTGTTTGTTGACGTTTGCTTGGCGGGCGGGGGCTTTGAGAAACCAACCCTGGAAAGCACAACGCTGCCATATGGTCCTGGGAAGTCCACTCGCAGGTATACATCCAGGAGGAGGGAAAACATATGCCAAAAAAGACATTCCTCGTTCTGGAACGTTTATTGCAGCTACTCCAGGATAGCTACAAGGAGTGGCCGGTGGCCCTCGGTAGGTGAGCCCGTGCGCCTCACAGCGCAGGAACACTACTCAGCCTTTACAGAAGGACAGCGATATGAGGTGGGTGGAGTTCAAAAGGAGTGAAACTGAGTGACAGCCAGCGGACCCAAAGGCACCGCCCACAGGAGATGGTCAGCACAATCAAATCCACAGACCAGAGGGCTGCCGGGGGCTGGAGTGCCTGCTGGTGGTGATGGGGATCCTTGGGGAATATTCTAGAGTTAGGAGGTGGTGATGAATATACTATAAAGTCTCATTTGTTTTGAGACAAGGTCTCATGTAGCCCAGGCTTGCCTGAAACTCTCTATGTAGCTGAGGATGACCTAAGTTTCTGGTCCTGCTGCTGCCTCCTCCCGTGCTGGGATGAAGGCTCCACACAGGTCTTTAAAACGCGTATAGTTGGGTTGGGGAGGGGCCGTGATAGGGGCCGATGTAGTTAGTGTGTGTGAGGTGCGGGATTCTATGCCTAGCAACGCAGGGAAAATGACCTAGAGCTGCCCGCACCCTGGCCTGGCATGCATGGAGCTCTGGGTTCGAGCCCAGCACCAGGTAAATTCGGTCGCGGCGGCAGCTGTCATCCCAGCACTCGGGGAGGAAGAGAGATCAGGAATTCAGAGTCATCTGCGGCTACGTAGGGAAGCCAGACTGTCAAAAAAAAAAAACAACCTAAAGATAAATAAGTTTATAAAAACTTTTTCTTAAAGATGGAGTCTTGGGGCATTGCTTTTGTATCAAAGTGAGCGTCCGTGCGAAGTGTGGACTCAGCTCGCGGCTTCACCTCTGGGAGCTGCAGAATGCCCAGGGCCCGAGGGGCTGGGCCACCCGCCATCAGCTGACCCACAGGACCAATGACGTTCGGGGGCGGGCCCAGTGGACGGGGGCGGGGCTGGAGGCGGGGCCAGCCGCGGGGGACACTCAACGATGGACGAGCCGAGCCTCCTGCGGCGCCGCGGGCTCCAGGTGAGTCCGGGCGCGGACGGGAGCGCGGACAGTGCCTTCCGAGCGGGGAGACTGAGGCAGGGAGCGAGGAAGGCCGGGGAGCGTCAGACTGCGCCCTTTGCCCGCTATGGGAAGGGAGGGGTCTCTGTTAGACAGATGGGGAAACTGAGGTTAGGCCTCTGGAGTGGGGAGAAGGAGCTCCAGGGTCCTCGCACCACACCCGCCGGGGGCCGTCGAGCTCCCGAGTGTGCAGCCTCTGAGGTGGACAGAGCCCAGCCGCCGGCCAGGGTCGCTGCCAGCAGCCAGTCCCCTGCCCCCGGTCTCTTCCACCGATGGGGAAACTGAGGCTGCCCAGCTGGGAGTCCGTCTCTCCAGGGTCACAGATCTGTCTGCAGGGTGTGTGAGTGTGGCTGCCTCGCGGAGCCCCAGGTTCCCGATTCATCGCGTTTGCGCCACGGGGCAGTAAGAAGGAACGCGAGTCCGGGGCCCTCGCGGTTAGGAGACTCAGGGAGACGACGCCCCTGGCCTCTCTGGGGCTCAGTTTCCCCATCTGTAACATCTGCAAAACTCAAAAAGGTTTGGCCGGTTGATCCTGAGGCTGGGACGACACGCCTAAGCAGCCGACAGGATTGCGGTGGGGAACCGCACACCACCGATCGCCCTGCATCTATTGAGCGCCTGCTGTGTGCGCAGCTCAGCTGCCTTAGACCCAACGCTAGCGCAGGTCGGACGCGGTGGCCCGGGACGGAGGCCGGGCACAGGGCAGGGGAGTTTGGGGAAGTGAAGATTAGGAGAAGCCGCTCAGAGGGGCAGGGGCGGGGCCCGGGAGGAAGCCTAGGAGCGGAGACCCGGGCGGGAAGGCGGCAGTGGGGGCGGGGCTGCTGCGCGGCGGGTGTCGCCCGGGCCCCAGTTAGATGCGAGCCCGCCCTCAACCTCTTAAAATAGAGACGCCGCCTCCGGGTGAGCAAACGGGGGCGCGGCTGACGTCAACAAGCGGGACCTGTTCCACGTGGGGGGTAAATATTTCCAGATGACGGGTCCCACGTTATACACAGGAAAACCGAGGCCCGGAGAAGTATAGCGGTTCTCAGGGCCAGGCGCCCGTGGGTGAGCTTCAGGGACGACCAGAGCAGAGCGCGCGGCCGGTGCAAAGGCCCAGTGCGGGGAGCGTGCTGTAAGTGGTCACCGTCTGCAACCAGGCGGGGCGCTGCACACCTTAATGCCAGCCCTCGGCGGGCTGAGGCAGGAGGGTCTGGGACTCCATGAGACCCTGAGTTTAAAAACACAAACAGCAAAACGATCCCGAGAATCCCATTTCTCAGATAGAGGAGAGGGTGAGCCGGCTGGCGATAAGGCTCCAAGGGTAAAGGTGCTTGAACTAAGCCTGACAACCTGGGTCTAGTGTCTCTCTGGAGTGGGCATGGTAGGAGAGCCCAGTGTTTCACAATTTGTCCTCCCACGTGCACACATGCGCGGAGGCACGCCAGCACACACTCAGCACACACTCGCCGTAAATAAACGAGCAAACGGTGGTGAGCTGTGGCAGGTGCTGGAGCAGGGGACTGCCTGCTACCAGGAGACAGAAGGACACTGGAAGTTTAGTGTATCCCGCCAGAGTGGGACACACTAACAACCCTACTCTATCTAGAACGCCAGGCTAGGCTACAGAATCAGCTCTGGGCTAGCCTGGGCTGCAAGGTGGCGCCCTCTGTGGACTGACATCTGTGAGTAAGAAAACAAGTTGGCATGGAGGTGCCCATCTGTAAGCGGAACTCCATGCCTTAACTGTCTAGAGGTGCACATCTGTAAGCGGAACTTCATGCCTTAACTGTCTAGAGCCTCAGCCAATCAGAGGGCAGGCGGCATCCACGACGGCCAATCAGAATGCTTGCAGGCTGAGCCCTGCTGCAAGTCAAAGGGTCCCTTCATGAGTTCTGGCGGAAGCCCCTCTGGTAGCCAAGGCTGGCCCTGCACTCCTGGTCGTTTTGTCTCCATCTTCCGAGTGCACACAGCCTGGCCGATGACGCTGGGACAGAGCCACAGGCTGTGTGCTCTGGCGGCTACTGCTGCTCACAGTGTAGGCCAGGCTGGCCCCCTGCAGTCTCTGGGGCAACTGGAAGGCAGGCAATGCTCTTGCCCTCCTGTGACACAGGATAGCCCACATGCTTCCCTGACCCAGGCCTGCTTAGCCCTGAGTTGAGTCTTTGCTAATGGTGATGGTGTATGCCTATCATCCCAGGAGTTGGGAAGCTGAGGCAGGAGGATAGCCTCGAGTTCTAAGGCCGGCAGGGGCTATGGAGCCAAATCCCCATCAGACAGGAAACTTCTGGGGGTGGACTCTGGGGTCCCAGTGGGCCCGAGCCCAGGCCTGTCTGTCCTGCTCACGGTGACCAGTTTTCCCAGATATAAAATGGGCAGCCTGAGCTCCGTGCAGTCCCTGGGTCCCGCACTCCACGACCAGCTCTGGTTACTCCAAACTGTGCAGACAGCGCTCCAATCACGAGGAACCCTAAACACAGTGTTTAAAGGGCAGACCCATAGAGAGCTTGCAGCTCAGTGGGGAGGGTGTGGTAGCTCAGTGGGGAGGGTGTGTAGCTCAGTGGGGAGGGTGTGGTAGCTCAGTGGGTAGGGTGTGGCAGCTCAGTGGGTAGGGTGTGCAGCTCAGTGGGGAGGGTGCTTGCCTAGTGTACATGAAGCCCTTGGACTGCATCCCAAGCACTGCTTAAACCAAGCGTAGTGCACACTATCCTAGCATTCAGGAGGTGAAGGAGACAGGAGGATCAGGAGTTCGAGGCCAGCCAGGGCTACAACAACAAAATCAGCAGTCACAGAGGGCCAAGAAAAGCGACGTCTGCCTGTGATGCCAGCACTCTGGAGGCTGAGGCAGGAGGATGGCGAGTTCCAGGCCATGGGCCTGCGCTGCAGAGAGAGGCCTCAAGAAAAATAAACAACAGCCAGTACCGGGGCGTCTGTGTGGGAGCTGCTGCGCGGGAGCAGCTGGCAAGGGGGCCGCGAGAAACAGATGGCGCGGGATGTCGTGGGCCCACTTCCTGGGAGCTTCCGGGGCCCGGCACACCCCCGCCACCCCACCCCCCCGCCTGGAGTCCTTTTGTACCTTGGGGATGCGTTTAAACTTCCCTTCGTCGCTGCGGATACTGGCACCTGGCTCTGTGGGACCCGCTGTTTTCTAAAGGAGTTAACTGGGACACAGAGAGGTTGGGCTGTTGAGGGACGCCACACAGCAGCATCCCAGACCCGAAGAAAACAGACATGGTTGGGGGAGTACGAGGCTGGACCTCCGAGCTGAAATTCTGTTTCTGGCTTGGTAGTGGGGGGGAGCGAGACGATGCAGAGAAGAGATGTACGGGATCGGAGCACAACCAGGGCCCATCTCTTCCCCTCTGCAGGCCAACCCCAGGCCGCTTAGTGGTCCAGCGCCTGGCAGTTTCCGCCCCCCCTCCAATTGGCTGTGGGGACAGATGACGTCACTGGTTGCCATGGAAAACTCCCGCCTTGGGATGTGGGTAGCTTGGAGCCCACCACTGTAAAAATAGTCCATGTCCCCAAAGTGGCCGCCCCAATGAATTTGTCTGTTGGACTGGGGGCGTCTGGAAAGTCCATTTCCCAGCTCTCCCACTATGTCTCTGCCTCAGTTTCCCAACTTGTACAGTAGATGCTCGGTAAATGCGACACAGTATGGGCAGTTTCTGCTTTGGTAACGAGCCATGGCAGCTGACAGTAACGTCCCCTGGTTATTAGTGCCGCCTTCCTGGTGCTAAACCGTTCTCTAGAGCGATAGCAAGGCCTTCATGAAGGTCTGGGAGTCACCAGACTCTTTAACAGTTCTCTCAAAAATAAGGAGGAAAAAACCCTCCCTGATGTGCAGTTGGTGGCGGACCCTGTGTTCTCAACGATTGAGAAGCCGAGGCAGGAGAATCACCGTAAGTTCCAAGCCACCCTGGGCTACAATACAGTCTGTCTCAAAAACAAAGCCAGAGTCAGCATGACCCAGGCACTCAAGCCACCTGTCAGGAGGTCTGCAGGCCGTCTCCTTCCCGGGCATCCACACTGAGAAAGGAAAATGCATCCTCGCAAGTTGTCACACAAGTGCCATGACACAAACACACACACGGACAAACAGCACAGATTTTCTGTGTGTGTGCTCAGGAGGGACCCTAGCCAGGGCTCTCTTCTGCCTTGTATGTAGTGGAGGCGGCCAGGGTTGGTGCAGACTAGTTCTGTTTGTTTGTTTTTTGAGGTTTCTCCATGTAGCCTTGGCTGTCCTGGAACTCACGCTGTAGACCAGGCTGGCCTTGAACTCACAGAGATCCTCCTGCCTCCGCCTCCCGGCTTCCTGCTCTTTTCATTACTTGTGTTCATTACATTTATTCATTTATCGTGTGTGTGTCTGTGTCTGTGTCTGTGTCTGTGTGTCTGTGTGTGTGTGTGTGTGTGTGTGTGCACAAACACCTTTGGAGATCTGAGGAATTCAGGACTCGGTTCTCTCCCTCCTCTGTGTGGGTCCTGGGGATTGAACTCCGGTGGTGAGGTTTGGTGCCTTTACCGCTGAGTCATTTTGCTGGCTTCATGTATATTTTAAACAGTCTGTGAGGGATACTCAGATGAGAGGGAGGACTAAGCTGTGGACAGTGTGTGTCAGGCCACCTTTGGTGTGAGGACCCTAAGACACTGAGTGGAGGCAGGGGTTGGTGTGGCTGGATCTTGAGAGACTGATGTTGGTATGCAGTGGGTGGAAACTTCCTGGGCTAACCCCACTTTCTTTGTCTCATTTCAGAAGGAGTTGAGTCTCCCTCGCCGGGGACGCGGGTGAGTAAGTTATTCAATGATTAATACAACTATAACATTGCCTTTTCTTTTGCAATTTTCATATGTGTGTGCTCACAAGACAAAAACCAACCGAACAAACAAAAAGTGGTTTTCCACCGGATTCTTTGGGGCAGGGCTCTCAATCAAACCTGAAGCACGGCCCTGTGCTCTGGGAATCTGCCATCTCTGTCTTCCTAGGCTGGGATTACAGGTAGGCCTCCAGCACCCATGGCCTCTAGGGATCCGAACTCGGAACGCTCGAATCCTGCACAGCAATCGCTTTAGCCACGGAGCCTCTATCCAGCATCTCCTCTCCTTTTTTCTTTTAAAAGAATGCTTCCCAGCTTGGGATCCAGGCCAAGCATAGTGTGGTGGCACCTGCCTGTGATCCAAGCCACATCCTGGAGGCTAAACGCAAAGGTTGACAGTTCCAAGTTGGCCTAGGCCACATGAGACCCTGCCTTAAAATAAATAAATAATAATAAATAAATAAAAATTAAAGAGCCGTGATCTGCGAGGTGTAACTGCACTGTCGCAGATTCGAGAGTCCTAGGCTCTGGAGTTTGCTCAGTGGGTAAGGCAACTGCTGTCTTGCTCCGCACCCAAGCGCAGTCCCACAATTCGTCCTCTGACCTCCGGGTGTGTGTTCAGAGACGAAATCCCTTTCACTAGATAAGTAAATGTAGAAAAAGAGAGAAGATTTGCTCCTCAGCACTGGGGTAAAGTTATTCTAACCCAAGTACATTGGGATGGGCTTGCATACCCCGTGGCAGGGCTGGCACCATCTGGGGAGATCCGGGGCTCAGAGAACATTTTGTTCTGTGCGTCCCTGGTTTACAGACGGATAAACAAAACCCGGGGTGGACCTTGCCTCATGCTCACTGACAGCAACAGCCCCGGACACCTTACCTTGACAGACTGCGTGTGCCTCGGTTGGAGGCTGAGAAGTACCGTGTATTTTGGACTGGGCCCTCCCTGTTGGAGAAACAGGGGAAGGAGACAGTTCAGTCCCGCGGCAGCTCGGGTTCTTAATGGGGACAGAGACCGTGAAATGTGTGTGCTCAGGGGAAGTTAAACAGAAAGAGACAGAGAGGCGCTGGGGGTCACTTGGAGGAGGTGAGGTTTCATCTAGCAGAGGACGAGCAGAGGGGCGGGGTGGCCAATGTGAAGACAATAGCATCCCAGAGGGACCCGCAAAGGTGCTGGGGTGCTACCAGCCTTGGCAGTGGAGGGGGAACCGGGTGAGGTAGAGGAGGATATGGGGTCTGAGAGCGAGGTCTCAGTGACCCCAAGTCATGCGCACTGTGGATGGGCTGGGGCGGGGCCGGACCTTGCCCTGCGTGCGTTGTGAGGGGCCGGGGGCGAGAGGAGGGCGGTGCACGGATCTCAAGGGCGAAGTGGGGGGGCCCGAGTCCTCGGGAAGCCGGCCGCGCTGCTTCGCGTGCTGTACCTCGCGCGGCCCTGGGCGTCTGTGGGTAGCGATGGGAGGCGATACGCCGCCGATGTGATCCGGCGGGAGGTCCCGGTCCGCAGGGTCCAGGTCGCCTTCCCTTCCGACGCGGCACAGGACCCGGCCAAGGAGGGTGGGGCTGCAGTCCCCGTTAGCTCGCTGTCCCGTGGGCCCGATTGCCCACGCACGAAGCCACTTGTTGCTCAGCTCCGCCCCTCCGAGAGAGGCTCCGCCTCTGTCCCCACTCTCAAAACAGTTCAGTGGCGTCCTGTATGGAGGCCACGCCCACTCAGAGGCCCCTGCCTCGAGTCCCTCAAATTGCTTCCGGGCACCGTGCTCATCGCACGCAAAGTGAGGCCCGGACCCACAGGCCGCAAGCCATACCCAGCTATGCGAAGCTCGGCCCCGCCGTCTTCAGAGTGCGCTTCTCTCCCGGAAGCCCCACCGACACCACATAGCCCCGCCCCTCACCCGTACCTACACAACAACTGTCCCGCCCCGCTCCCATACCTCGGCTCCTCACCGGTAGCCCCTCCCACGGCCCGCCCCCAATCTATGGGCCCGCCCACACATTGTAACCCCGCCCCCCGCCGGCTCCTCCCTGACCTTTAGTCCCACCCAGCAACATCATTGTCCCGCCGATGGCCCCTCCCCTCAGCCCACCTGCCGCCCCGCCCACATCCCCGCCCCTCGGCGCATGGCCCCGCCCCTGGCAGCCTCGGTGTGCGCGTCCCTCTGTCCGTAGTCCCTGCGCGTCCGCTGGCGCCCGGTCCTACCCCGCGTCGGTTCCCGCGGCGCCGCCATGAAGTCCCGCAGGGAGAAATTGCTGATCCCCGCGCTGACGCTCGAGTGAGTACCGTGGTCCGAGCCCCGCGGCGTGGTCCCCGGGCGCCCGCGGGGTCACGCCGGGTCGCCGCGGGGTCACCGCCAGCCTCTGTCTTGCAGTCTGTCACCGAGCAGCCAGAGCCCATGCCTGCTGAGCCCCGGCAGCCCGTGCAGCCCGTGCAGCCCGTCACTGGGCCTGCAGCCCTGGAGGTGAGTGGCGCCGCCCCGCACGCGCGCCCTCCGCCCGGGCCTCTCACGCCCCCTGGCCGCCCCAGGCTTCAGTGTCTCCCCCTCCCCGGCTCCGACCCCGTGGAGCTGGGCAAGTGTCCAAGGCGACGCCAGAACTTGAGCCCAGCGACTTCCCGAGACAGGTGCTGGATTCCCAAGGCCCTGCTAGGCTGTGACCTCGGGGACCGCTGGGAACGCCTCCCTCTGGTCACACACAAGGCCAACCAGGCTGCACTAAACACAGGCCGCCCCCGAGGCCGGCTCCACCTGACCGCGTTTCCCAGAGGAGGAAACTGAGGCTCAGAGGCAGGCTGGTATGACGCCGTCAGTCTGGGGGCCAGCCTGGCCACCACACCACCCTCTGATTACCGGCAGGCTAACCCCTCTGAAAGTCTTCCTGACTTCCCTGGGAGCCATTTACACCTTAGGATAAGCAAGCTGTTCAGCAGTCTCTAGATTCTGAATGGGGAAGACACACAATAAATACTATGGAGTCCACACTCAAGTCCAGACAATTAACAGGGTTACCCTTATTCACTCAGCAAACATTTTCTAGGCACCTACCAGCGTGCCAGGTAAAACGCCCCCAGCCTGCCCCTCAGAGGGCTCCAGCTGGCTGGAGAAGGGGCCAGGGAACACGCGAGTAGCTAATGAGACATGTTCAACGCTGGTCCCTCGGGCAGGGGACTGTGGATTGGAGGTGGGAGCAGAGCTAGGTCACGATTACCCCGGACAGCTAGGCCTGAGTGTGCACTGGTCCTGGGCGGGGTGGGGCAAGGCCTTGTGCGGCTGGGGCATCTGGAGGAAATCTGTGCCCAGAACTGGTCGGGTTTGCCCAGTGGGAGGCAGGGAATGCTGTCACCACTCATTGTAGAGTAGGTGGAAGAGGCCCAGGGGCACCCTGGGAGGCAGTGTGAAGCCAGACGCATCTCTGAGTCCTTGGCTCAAACCCAGGGGAGGGCAAAGGAGGGAGAGGGACCCTGGGTGGGGGATACTTGTGCCTGAACAGATTTTACCTGGAGGAGACGGAGGCCTGTAGCCACAGTCCCCACAGTCACCACTAGAGGGCAGCAGAACCATCTTTCCTGCAGCCACACAGGTCCGTTTCACTTCCCTGTACTTGAACAGGATGGATCTAATTTGTTTGGCAACCATTTACACCTCAGTATGAAAGAGCCCCTTTGATCCAGGAACTATAGGAAGACAGTCCTCCTGTGTCCCACAATCCCTAAGGTCCCAGATCATGTGCAACCCATCCATCTCTCCGCACTTGTCACTGCTCTGTTCAGAGAGTTCTGATGGTTTTTTTTCTTAAAGATTATTTACCAGCACTGGGGAGGCAGAGGCAGGAGGATCTCTGTGAGTTTGAGACCTGTCTGGTCTACAGAGTGAGTTCCAGGACAGCCTCCAAAGCTACAGAGAAACCTTGTCTCTAAAAACAGATTTATTTATTATGTATACAGTGTCTGCCTGCATGTATGCCTGCAGGCCAGAAGAGGGCACCAGATCTCATTACAGATGGGTGTGAGCCACCATGTGGTTGCTGGGAATTGAAGCCTGGAAGAGCAGCCAGTGCTCTTAACCTCTGAGCCATCTCCCTGTGAGCTCCCCCGACACACACTTCTTGTGTGAAGGCCTCCGTCACATCCGAAGAATGGATGCTTTCCACATGTACTCCAGCCTTCCACGCCCCCTAAACGGATCTCATTAGGACTGACTTCCATGGTTTTTCGTTTTGTTTCGTTTTTTCATTTTTTAGGTACTAGGCAAAGGCTCCACCTTTGAGCCACACCCCACCCCCTTACTGGGGGATTCTAGGTAGGGCTCTACCCTTGAGGCACACCTCCGGTCCTTGGTTTTTTTGAGGCAGAGGGTTTTGTTGTTGTTTTGTTGTTGTTGTTTGTTTTTTTGAGACAGGGTTTCTCTGTGACTTTGGAGACTGTCCTGGAAGTAGCTCTTGTAGATCACACTGGTCTGGAACTCACAGAGATCTGGCTGCCTCTGCCTCCCAAGTGCTGGGATTTTGTTTGGTTTTGGTTTTGGTTTTAGAAGACAGGGTTTCTCTGTATTGTTTTGGAGGCTGTCGGTCCAGCCTGGCCTCGAACTCACAGAGATCCGCCTGCCTCTGCCTCCCGAGTGCTGGGATTAAAGGCGGGCGCCACCACCGCCTGGCCCAAGTGCTGGGTTTAAAGGAGTGCAAAACAGAGGGTTTGTTTTGTTTTGTTTGCTGTTTTTTTATTATTTTGAGACTTTTTTTTTTCATTTTGCTTTTTGAGACAGCGTTTCTGTAGCTTTTGAGCCTGTCCTGGGACTCATTGTATAGACTAGGCTGGACTACAGAGATCCACCCGCCTCTGCCTCCTGAGCGCTGGGATTAATGGTGTGCGCCACCACCACTGAGTGAGACTGGTTTTTATTTTGTTTGTTTGTTTGTTTGTTTTTATACACCTTAGGTAGGAGGCT